AATCCACCCCCCCCCCCCTCCACACACACAGACAGGGCAGCCGGGGAGACGCCGAACATGCCGTGACAAAGAGAGCGGTGCCAAAAAAGGGGGGAAAAAAAAAAAAGAGGAGCAGCAGCGGCTCCCGGGGCCAGGCGTTGCATCACAGCCCCCCGAAAGGTTGTGCTCAAGACAGACCCAACACTAAATAACTAAATAAATAAACAAACAAACAAACCAACCGCTTTCCAGTTCACCTCTCCCCACCCCACCCCGTCCGTGATGAAAACCAAGCACCAACCATCACCCACTGGATGAACTCCAGAGCGGGGTAACCCAACCGCCCTCCCGCCACCTGGGCAGAGCCTGTTACCCAATGCCCCTGTTTATTTCCCAGCCCGGCTTTAGCGGTTTCACAACCCAAAGCTGCCAGCCCAGGTTGAAATGCTGATACCCCCCCCCAACCCTTTCTCCCCTCCTTTCACTCTGGCTTTCAGAGCAAGAAGAAAACAAACACACCACCCCACACAGAGCCCTCAGTTTGCATCACGCCGTTCCCAAGAGGAGATCCCACTTTTTCCAAGTGCTAAACACCCACAACATGCAAAGTACCGCTCGCTCGGGTGGGTACCAGAGGGCAAGAGCACCCCCCAAAATCCCCCTTTCCCTCCCACCACAGGCAAAAGAAGGTCCTGCCTACCTCTTTGGTCAGGTCTCCATTCACCGGGGCAGCCACCGCTCCCAAATCTTCCAGTTCTTCCCCAAAGCCTTGCTCTGCTCCGCTCTCCCTCACCCCGTTGTCGGGACTGTTCCCATCCTGCAGGCTGCCACCGTTCTCGAGGGCGATGCCGGCGCTGGGCTGGCTACCGGAGACGGAGCCTTCGGGGTCTCTGTGCACCAACCAGGCGTTGACTTCGGTGGTGGGCACCTGAAACCTGTCCAGGGCCCTCACCTGGTTGAGCAGCCTGCGAGCGGTGAAGTAATAGTCCAGGTCTACGCTTTTTGGGTGGATGCCATAGCCATCCAAGGTGTTCCGCAGGTTGTGAAACTGGGTCTGGGTGTAAGCAGAGCTCTGGCCAAGAATGATCTCCCGCAGAGGAGGGAGCTGCGAGTTCAGGTAGGTGTCCACGTCCACACGAACGCCGATCAGGCTGAGCAGGATGGTGAACTGGATGAGGCCTTCGGTGAAGTATTTCTTCAGAGAAAGCATTTCTGGCAAAGGAGAAAAGAAAACAGGTGGAGGGTTTGGGGATTAAAGGGAAAAAAAAAACAAAAAAAACCACCAAACCAAAAACAACAAACCCAACAAAAACCCCAAACCCAGCGCCAGATGAATTCTCCACACAACAGGTTGGTTGGGTTTGTCTTTCCTCTGCCCCACTTTCTAACAAACAAAATAAAGCCACGACATAGGCATTTAAGCTATTGCTAAACAGGGGGATAAAAGTTTAAAGAAGATTCAAGACTTTGGGTTTAGGACGACTTTGTTTTCCTTTTCAAATTCTATGGCATCGGCATTTAAGCTATTGTTAAACAGGGGGATAAAAGTTTAAAGAAGATTCAAGACTTTGGGTTTAGGACGACTTTGTTTTCCTTTTCAAATTCTGGGACTCACCGGCCGGCCAGGAAAGTGTAATTAAAGATTTAAATCTTGAGAAGCAACAAACCCTCCCCACATGACAGCCTCCACCCTCTCTCGCCCTTTCCTCTTCTTCAGAACTGTCTGAGAACACAAACCATGCAACAACATAAGACACACACACAAAAAAATACATCCACGTGACTTACTGTCCAAAAACTCCACATACAGCGGCTTCCTCTCGCCCCCCCCCCCCCCCCCCCCCCCCCCCCCCCCCCCCGCCCA